AAAGAGTGTGGTGATACACAAGTAATGTAGGGTGAGAGCGAGGCGAATCTCAGGGTGGGCTGCGGAAGATGTTGGGAGAAATTGATCAGAAACAAATGAAGGGTGAAATTGTTAGCTTAGTTCTGCCATTGGTGCTGAATGAAGTGTAAAAAAGTATATAAATACCATACTTAGCAGAAAGGAAATTTGATTTTTTGACATCAGCATTTGAAGACCGTGTTACTGATATGGGCAAATACATCGCATGCATTTAATTGTTAGTTGAGAAATCTGGTAGAAATATGTTTACCTTTCAGAGGCCTTGCCTTATCTCGTCCTCTCTTTTTCCTATGTGGAATTTCTATCTGTTAACTCATCTTGATGAAAAATGCAGTTGCTTGACTGTAAATGAATAATGTATGAAGTGCTCATGTCAGTTGTTCTCCATCTTCTCCATCCTGTACGGTCACTCCTTCCTGCTTAGCAACACCGAGAAGACAGGTCTCAAACCCAAGGTCAGGGAATGCTGCTCTATGGCAGAACTTCTTTGGGCCTCCTCCCAGGTCCTGGTGTTCACTTCTTAGGTTGCATAAGGGGATACTTCTCTCAGTGTCGTGCTTAGTGACGACTGGAAATGAGGGCAGGGAAATGGTCTTTTTGGCTACAGTGTACCTTTGTGAAATGTGTGTGTATCCCATTTCATGATTTTTTTTTCTGTCTTTCGCATTATAAATTCAGATCTTGTCTATCCCAGAAGCCTTTGTATCTGACTATTAGGCCTGTGACATCAGAGATAATAAGGAAGAGAAATGCAATTAACTGAGAGGGGAAATGATTTGCATTCATGTTATTTAAAATGCCTTTTTTTGTTTGTGTCAAGGACCCATTTAATTCACATCTCGAGGAGAAAAGCTCTTGGGTGGGAAGGGAGTTGCTTAGGGGTTCAGAAGATTTGCATCCCACATTCATGAATCACCCAAGGAATCTTGCGGCATTAGAAGGGAAAATGAGAATTGGCAGTGCTGATTTGGAGGGAGGGGAAGAAGGGAAAGCAGATAAACCCTTACTAGCTAGTGTCCATATGTAATGGAGAAGCTGTGGAGAACCCCAAACAATCTGCTTTCCCTTTGTACATCACCTTATTATTGACAATATCTCTTCAACTGATACATTCCTTTCAGTTTTTGGAGATGTGCTTTTTTTGTCTTTTCTGGTTTTTAGAGGAAAAGGGGAGCCAGTGACTGAGCTGAGTTGGTCCTCCTGCCGGCAGCTTCTCTACCAGTCAATGGCCACCATCCTGGCTCACACAGGCTTTGAGTGTGCCAATGAGAGTGTCCTGGAGACCCTGACAGACATCGCCCACGAGTACTGCTTGAAGTTCACCAAACTGCTGCGCTTTGCTGTGGATCGAGAAGCTCGACTAGGGCACACCCCTTTCCCTGATGTCATGGAGCAGGTCTTCCATGAAGTGGGCATTGGCAGCGTGCTCTCGCTGCAGAAGTTCTGGCAACACCGCATTAAGGATTATCACAGCTACATGCTTCAGGTGAGAAGAGCAGTAGGGACCTGACAACACCAAGAAATGTACCCCCAGTACAATTGCTTATTCCTATAGCAAGTCCTGAGTCTTATTGAGGTAAAATCTGATTAGAAAACCTCCTTGGGTGTGGAGGGGAGCCATCAAGGAAAAGAGAAACAGGGTTTTTTTGACTGGAAGATAGAGCCCCTTATTTGTGTCCCTACTGAGGCTAAGAATGCTCTACTGATGGTTTGTCTGGGTTTAAGAGGAGGCCCCCAGCTCTTGAATGGCCCAGACAAAAACATCAAGTAGAGGTAAAATCAGTACTGACCGATTGAATTATCTGCTTTAGTGGGATATTTGGCTTCTTACCATTTCAGAAAACAAGTAAGCAGACAAACAAAAATTACTAGGCTGTTCAGTGGCTTGTGTTCGCTTAAGCAAGGAGTGACTTGCTTAAGCTTTGGGAGTACAGGGTACTATTGTGCTGATCTGAGTTGTCACACAGGTGCTACCTTCCACTCTAGAGGGGACTGTGCTTCTGTGGAGAAAGAAGAGGAATTGTTAAATTCCTTGGATATAAGAGGTATATAAACGTAGGTTGTAAGAATAAGGGTATGGTTTCTCTTGGTCCAGCTATTCTGTGAAATTAAACATACACATTTTCTTTGAATGATATAAGACTGCCTGTTGTGGACTTAGAGAAATGCAAGGGTTTGAATTTTATTCCTCATCAGAAAACAAGGCTTGAATCAAGTGGGTTGCCTGTGACCAAAGGCAAAACCTGCCATCCCTTCCTCCTTGTCACGTTATCTGAGTGCCAGTTGACTTGTCTTGGAGCAGCTACTTTGTGCTTCTTCTTGTCCCAGGGTTGGCCCCTTGTGGCTTACAGAGACAGTATAAATCAGAGGCATCAGTAAGTGCATGTAAATTGTGATGGACTCTGAGGTGTGTGCATAAAAATAACATCATCAAGATCTGTCTTCATTGAAAACATTTTTGTTCAGAAAACGAGTTCTGTTAATTTTTGTTCAAATGTTTTTGTTCGGATGTTGTCTCCTTTTGGAATTTGGGTTTTCTGCATCATTCTGCTGATGCAGTTCACTCTCATCCTGCAGCTGGTCGTTGTCTTATTTGTTCTGTTCTTTACGCAGGGCTGAGGTCCACAGTAGCCTCTGTATTTCAAAGTATATCTGCAAGGGGGAAATAGGCTTTGCTAGTCTTTTTCCTTCTTGCTTCTGCTGTTAAAAAGCCTTGGGCTTTTCCTGAGCACAGTTGCCTGGATGTTGGGATTCAGTGGTATAAACAAGCATTTGTTAGACGCAGATGAAATCTGAAATTTTTAATTTAATTGCTTACAGTTGTTAAGTTTCTAGAAGTACAGGGTAGTTCTGAATCTCATTCCTGTATTTGTTTCACTTCTCTGACTGGAGAAAACTTCTGTGTTTTTTGCTATGAATCTGACAGAAGGTACCCAGGCTTTGCCCAGTGGTGGCTACGGAGCTGACGAATATCTGGGCTGCTTGTTTTTTAATGCTGGAGTAAATTTGTTACTGGTGGGTGAGGGACAGTCTTATAGGGAAAATCAAAGAGTAAGACTGAGACACTTTGCTTTTGTTTTGTACTCTGTTTAAATTTCTGGGCCTCATCATCTCTGTCTGTGAAATAAAGGTGATCATATTTATCAAGCAGATGTGTTAATGGATTAAACCTCTTATTAAAGTCCCTTGTTATAGGGCAGAAGGTGTTCTTAAAGGGGGGAAAAAAAAACCTTTCCTGTGTAGCTGGTAACCTGTTTACTTGTTCATTCAGGTCAGATGTTAATAATATTCTGGGAACAGAGCGTACTGCAATGTAATTGCCATCAGAGTCTCTGAAGTCACTCTGACCTTTCTGGCCTCTTTTTCACCCCCACTGATCTTTCACAGGTTAGCAAACAGCTCTCTGAAGAATATGAGAAGATTGTCAACCCTGAAAAGGCAGCAGAAGACACAAAGCCTGTGAAAATTAAGGAGGAACCTGTTAGTGATATTACTTTCCCCATAAGTGAGGAGCTGGAAGGAGATCTGGCTTCTGGTGACCAGTCTTTGCCCGTTGGAGTCCTTGGAGCTCAAAGTGAGCGCTTCTCTGCCAACTTGGAAGTAGAAGCTTCCCCGCAGACTTCAGGTAGGAGTTTCTTGCTACTCCTGGAAACAGTCCATCAGCAGTTCCATGAGATCTTGTTTCCAATTTTAATAGCAGATCCCAATGTGAGGAAGGAGAGGGAGAAGAAATTCTTAAGTTTTAGTAAAAAGATTTGGATGGGAGGGAAACCCTTCCTTGCTTTCTAAATACAAACCCAAAGAATCAAAGGTATCAGTTACTGGGATTTGTTACATATTTACTCCATTCGTGGACCCTGTAGAACACAAAATGCTTTACATGGTGTTTCTTTTTAGGGGATGGTTAAAGTTCTTGGCTTTGTTATTGGTGTGAGGTAGATTGTTTTTCTACAGTGATGATCCAAGGGCTTTATTGTTGTTTTTTTGAACTAGGGTATTTGTTGCAGATGTGAGTACGAACAGTTTTTTTTCCAGTCTAATGTAACAAAGATGAAAATGACTTTTGGGTTTATATATATGTATATATTTTAGTTTAAAAGAGGCTAGAGTTTTATCCTTATTTCTAGTAAGGACAGTACCGGACTTTTTTTTTTTTCTTTTTTTTTTTTCTGGGTAGTTTTGGATTGTTATCCAGAGATTCATGTTACTGAAAAGTTGAAGGCCATGTTCCTTGTGGCTGGAGTAAATTCAAGACCCTATATAGTTTAGGCACTGAATTACTGATGATACTTGGTGCAGTCCTCCATATTCAGAAGTCACCCTGGTAGTGAGAATCATTGTTTTCTGAAAGCTTATCAGTGACTTCTATGAAATGGGCTTGTGGGAGTCTCTCCTATTCTAGCATCTCTACCCCAAAGGCTGCTGTAGTTAGCTGGGGCCGTGGAAAGTGAAATGGTGAGTGAAGTAGTGGGGTTATGGAGACTGCACTCTTTTCCTCAAAGTGTCATCCCTTGATATTGGCATTGAAGCACACTGGTGGCCAGCATGGTAGAATCTGCTACGGCAGTGCCTTTTCTATATCTATACACAAGTTTTTTACTCTGTGCACTGTTTAGTAGTGCTAAATTTTGTGGAAAATGAAGAGATTCTTCTCCCAAAGACAGCCAGTTTTGATTGTTGCATAGAACCTGAACTCTGGAAATCCATGCAATAATAACTGTTTCACTTAAAAATCTGGTTAAAAAACAATGAAGCCTGTCTTCCTGTTAACCGTGAACTACGTAGCATATATAGTGAGGTTAGAATATACCTCTGAGTCCATTAGTTTTTGTTTGTTGTTTGGTTTTTTTTTTTAAATAGCACATTCTGCTGAGTTTTAAAAAAGCACAAATCCATCTGATGTTTTTCTGGAAGCTCATACTGTTTTCCATAGTACCTCTGAAATGTGAAGTGCTCACATTTTTGTGGGAGAGGGAACAGCAGACTCCTCTGGCCCATCTGAGGTTGCGAGTGATTCATCTGGAAAGCTTTGTATTAGCACCTACCACTTGAGACCCAGAGGTTAGCATGCTAGCTGTATATTAAATGCCTCTTGCCTCTCTGATACCGAATTGATGTTTTCTAATTAAGAATACAAGTGCTCTGTTCCTCCCTGAAAATCCCTCTTCACTTCACAAGGGCCTTTGGAAATCTCATCACTGTGTGAAGTCCCAGTCTAGAGCTGGGCAGACTGGAGAGCGTAATATCTTAAGGAGGAAGAAAAAGCTGCTGCAATTAGGACACCACCATCTCGAAAGTACAAGTGTGAGGCCCGTAGAGAGGGCAGCAAGGGTTCAGTGTCTGAGGGCAAAACTCTCATTACAGCCTTCTGTGTTCTGTGTGTGTTTCTGCTTGTGCCGGGTGTTGTTGTTGTGGGGTAGGTGCTTGATTTCATTGCAGTTGGGGAAGTGGAGGCAAAATTGGGGACCTTGTTCCTCCACCCAGCAGGATAACATGAGGATTAGCTCATTTGTAAAGTACTTTGAAGTTAAAGTGCTTTGAAGATGAACCATCCTGTGTGGATGGTTAAGTACTTTTAGTCATTAGTGACACTGGCAATGACAGGTGATAGAGCTGAAAGGAATAAGGCTGAGCACTGAAAAGCAATTGATGAAAGAAAGACACAGTTAAGTTTAGTGAGCATCTTTGATTATTGTGTAGACTGGAGCTGCAACTCTGTGGAACTGATAGCGTTTTAATGATGTGTCCATTGTTGTTGAGAGGAATACATTTACTTATAATTAACATAAAAAGGATTTTTCATTAAGGCAACTGGACACCAGCGAGCACTTTCATTCTGGCTTCCTGTCTAACTGCTGAGCTAATGTAGGCTGTGCTACCACAAAGGTCTCTTAAACCCTGGTTTGGGCTGAGCTGCTCTGGAAGAGATTCCCGACTTCTTCATAAGGGAGAATTCTCAGTACAAACATGTGATGGAAGATTTGTTCTCTGTGTAATTGCTAGTAATAAGGGACTATTGTTAGTAGTATATTGATAATAGGGAATAGGAGTAGGTTTGGCTCAGTACAAGAGGTTTGGTTGTGCTTTCAAACTATAGCCAAGCTTCTTGAGACACAAGGTTTGGAAAACTTATTAAACCTGGTTTCCTAGGGTTTTTTTTTTTTTATTTTCCATGTGAATTTAACCACACATAAGAGTGACCAGATTTAAAAGTGAGAAGATTTCAGGTTTTGCTCAGTTCCGGGCTGTTTATGCCCATCTCAGCAAGGAGCCCAATTAGTGTATCTTTAATAGGATTTTTGTCTCTCTTAAAACTGTAAATAAGCAGAAATAATGCAATCTGTAATTACTGCTCTTGGGGAGAAAAACGTTTGCTGTTATCAAGAAATATGGTTTTGTAATCTTGTACAGAAAATCCTCAATCTGCTCAGATTGCACGAGTCCAAAAGTTAAAAAAAAGGGGGAGGGGACACTGTTTCCCAGCGGGGTGTCTGCGAGGTTGAACTAAGAGGGTTTCTTCCCATTCTGCTGAAGGATGGGATGAGACCTGCGGGTGTTGAGTAGGAGACAGGCAGTCGGGTGGCTGACTGCAGCTCTGATGTCCCTGCATTTCAGTGCTGGAAGTAGTGTTTGAGAGTGTTCATGTACATACTCCTCTGCCCTCTCACTTCACCTCCCCTGCAGAAGTCCAGTATGTCTGACAGCTTAAAGGAGGTCGCCGATGTTGCAAGGACCTCATCATCATGAATGACTTCTGGACTGCCTCCAAGGCCTGCTTATGCAGGGTCTAGTCCATGTGCCGTTGGTGTACTCATTGCTGCTGAGACACTCCTTCTGGAGGGTGATGTGGGCTCTTTAAGTTGTTGTTTCTCATGGAGAAAACCATGTGGAGGACTGCTGTGAAAGGATAGCATATTTTTTAGAGCGACAATTACTGGGCTATTAAAAAAAAAAAAAAAAGGCCAACAGATTTTTTTTTTATTTATTGTTTCGCAGTGCTTGGTGTGTTTTGTTTGTTTTCGCCCCAGCCTAGTTCACCAATAGCTATGCTTTTGCTCCTTCTTTACCAGTGCTGCTGTCCCTTGCATCTGTATGCTGTTTGTCATTTGTCTTTTTACTCGGTTACTACTGTGTGCTTTTTGTTTCTCTAGGGGCTGAGGTGAACGCTTCCCCACTCTGGAACTTGGCACAGGTAAAAATGGAGCCACAGGAAAATGAGGAGGCTAATGTACATGGCCACGGGGTCCTAGGCAGCGATGTCTTTGAGGAGCCCATGTCAGGCATGAGCGAAGCTGGGATGCCACAGAGCCCCAATGGCTCTGAGAGCAGCTACGGTTCTCATTCTGCTGACAGTCTGATGGGATCCTCACCTGTCTTCAACCAGCGCTGCAAGAAAAAGATGAAGAAGATGTGAAAAGAGACAGTCTTTTTGTTTAGTCCTGATGGTATGTAACAGACTTGAAACAAACTGAGAGTACTGTGATGGCTATGATTCATAAACAGGGCTGGCCCTGGAGTGTGAGGGACCTTGCATAAAATTATTATGAGAGGTTTGATGTGTAGTGCACTTCAGCTCCCCTCTTTGCTGGCTTCTGTGCTCCATCCTGACTCATGAGAATGAAGATCACCCGGTACATTTGGTGGCGGCATGGCTTGCTTTGGCAGATGAATGAGGAAGTTACCAGTGGAAAGTAGTTGTGAGGAGATTTGCCCAGTCACAGAGTCATTGAATAATTTGGGTTGAAGGGACCTCTTGATGTTTTTAGTTCAGCCCGCTGCTTGAAGCACAGCCAATTCGAGCAGGTTGCTCAGGGCCTTGTCCATTTGAGTTTTGAGTATCTCCAAGGATGGTGATGCCAAATCTCTTTGGGCAACATGTTCCCATATTTGACTACCCTCATAGTAAGAAAAAATGTATTCTTGCATCTAGTTGGAATTTCCTATGTTCCAGCTTGTGTTCATCTCCGAGAAGAGTTTTGACTGTCTTCTCTAACCCACCCATTAAGGGGCTGTATACAATGAGATCTCTCTTTAGCCTTTTCTCTGAAGTGTGAAGAAACCAAGCTTCCCGAGCCTCTTTATGTCGTGTGCTCCAGCCCCCTAACCAGCTTTGTGGCCTTCCACTGAAATTGCTGCAGTGGCCTTCTTGTAAGTGGGAGCACAAAAGTGGATGCAGTCCTCCAGGTATGGTCTCACAAGCACTAAATAGAGAGAAATAATAATTTCCCTTGATCCGCTGGCTACATGCTTGCTGACTGTTGCGGGCAACAAGACAGTCTTAAGTCAGGGTATTTCACTGGTTGGAGAGCCATTGCTGATGATTATGATGACCTAGCAAAGATGCTGTAGAGTGGCCTCACAGTGCCATCAGCCAGCTCCTTCAGTGCCTTCATATGCATCCTGTCCAGTTCCATGGACTTATGTACGTCCAATTGGCTTAAGTTCTTGCTAACTCGATCTTCCTCTACTGTAGATAATGCTTTATTCCCACGCACTCTGCTAGAAGACCCAGGGACCTGGCAGGCCTGAAGGCAGACCTTATGAGTGAAAACAGGCAAAAAAGGTGTTGAGTACATCAGCCTCAAAGTACAAAGTGCATCCTTTGTCACCAGATTGCCTGCATTGTTGAACAGTAAACCCATGTTTTCTTTAACCTTTCTTTTGTTTCCAGTGTACTTAAAGAAGCCCTTCTTCACATTTGTTACCAGTTTCAACTCCAGCTGAGCTTTGGCTTTCCTAACTGTCCCTGCATACTTGGGCTGTGTCTCTATATCCCTGCCAGCCAGCCCATCCTCACTTCCACCTCTGTGTACTTTTTCCTTTGTGTTTGAGTTCAGTCAGGAGTTCCTTGATCATCTGTGCTGGCCTTCTGTCATGCCTGCTTTACTTTCTGCTTGTCAGAAAGGACTGTTCTACTATGAGAAAGCTGTCTTTGAAGATAAGGCAGCACACTTGGGCCCCTTTGGGAGGCCAGGGCAGTCCTTCATGAGATCCTGTCAAGACATTCGTTGAATAAACCAAAATACATTGTCCTAAAGGTCCAGGACACTGTCTGTACACGTTTCTCAGGATTTTAAATGCCACAATTCCATGTCTGCTGCAGCCAAGGCCTTCACATTCTCCAATAATTCTTCCTTGTTAGAAACAAGTCCAGCAGCGCTTCTTCCCTAGTTTATTTCTTGATCATCTGGTCAGGGAAGTTGATGTGGTTTTCTGGAGAGAATGAAGCAGCTTTTACTATTGGTGTGAGCCTGTACTGGCAATGCAGACTTCTCCTTTGCTCTCATTGGACTGAGTGCAGCAACTTCAGGCTGGCTGAGGTTTTGTATTCAAAGTTGTTATCTTGACAACTTAGTCTGAAACAGAATCTATTTTGCCGCTCGCTTTTATGGCTTAGCTGACTGATGGCATTTTTTTTATTCTGCACAATCCTCAGTTGATCAACTCAGTCTTTAGCTTAATTCAGTGAGTGTCTCTCTCAAAAAAGCTAGAATGAACGTGAATCAAGAATGAACAGCCACTTAAACTGGCTTTATACCTGTAACCCATTGGGATGTTTGAGGGAGATTTACCAAACCTCCTATTTGTCCTTACAATTGCAAGTTTATCTTTTGAAAGAATGAGCTCCAGGCATAGTATTTTTGTTTCTGTATAACATGCCTAGCCTTAATTCTTTTTTCCTTACTGTATTTCTCTTCCACTTTATAGAAGTGGAAGCCAAACGTAAAATTCCTCAATGTCTAATAAGAATGTGTGACCACAGGCTTTTATGGACATTGGAGTTAAAATTGTCTATCACAGTTTTAAAGGTTTCTCCTGGGGGCTAAATTCTGGCTATTTGGAGCCTAGTCAGCAGTAGAAGAGCATACCAGTGTATCAGGAAATCTTTATTATGATTCCCTTTGAGTCACCATTAGGCAAGCTGCAATGTCCCTGTTTTCTCAGCTGTATAAAAAGAATAGCAGGATTTGCCTCTTAGAAGTGTGTTTGAGATTTAGTTACTATTCAGAAAAGGCACTGTGATCATACAAAGAGTTTTGTGAGAGTTGTGAGCTTTTCTTCCATTTCAGTAGGACTGTTGCTGGCTGGAGAATGCTTAGGTGGACACTGAAATGTTACAGACCTATATGATACTGGTTTTAAGCAAAATGGCTTATCATGAAGAAGTGCAGCACAACTGTGCTGTTCAACTGCCCAGGTACAAGGAAGGCATTTGGGGTGGTATCTTCTCACTCAGCTTTAGATGTCTGCATCTAAATTTGTTCCTCTGGGCCCCGTTTGCAACTGAAGAGAAACAGTCATTCTTAGGTCACCGTTCCTCTGGCCTTGAAGTAGAAGTATAAAGCAGGTCAGATGAATGGCATTTTTAGAAATGTCTACTTTTCCTTTGTGTGCCTGTAAAGTGAGTTCAGCTTCACTACCTCAGCTGAAGACATCCGCACCATATATCTGAGTTAAGTGACCTGACTTTAGCCCTTCCTCTGTGGGAATCAGAGGAGACTTCCTCCTGCTGGGCCAGTGCTTTTTCTTTTCTACACATTTTGTACAGCTTGCCGATCGAATGGGAGTACGGGGCTAAAAAGCAGACTGCCTATCTTACTTAAACCAGCAGATCCAGTGTTCTCCACAACACACAGAATGTGCTAGGCTGGAGCCTCGAGCCTCAGCCTGATTTGGCCCTTATGTCTTTGATACTGTGTGAGAACACCTGTCGTTGAGCCTTTCTCTGTAGATGCTTAACCAGCTGTTTTAGTAAAGTATTCTTGAGGCTGGGGCACCTATGCAAAGTCCCTTGCACTATTTTCAGGCGCTAGAGGACAGGGTGACAGCTGCCAGCATTGCTTGCTCATTTGCAAGACTTCAAGTGGGCTGAAAATGAAAATCTAGTGTTGTCCAGGGCTTTGGTTAAACCTTCTAAACATCAATCTTAAGTGCTTTCTTTATATTGCTCATGTACAGATGTTCTGTCTTACTTTTAATTGTGTTGTTTATTTCACATCCCTTTTCCACACCCATTTCACGCTGTAACACACAGTCTGCAACAAGCCAAGCCTGAGTGCTTCAAGTATATTTAAATACAGTGCAAATTCACCCTCCTTTGATTCAACTGTGTTGTTGCAGTGTAAGAGAGGAGTGTTATTGATTCTCTTTGAGATGCATGTTTATGCAGAGGTGAGAAATGCATCGGCATTGCTTGTACATTTAAAAATGATGGCAGAGTAAAATCTGTGCCTCCTGTTCCCCCATTATGCTAAGCGTTGCTTCTGACATTTGTGTGCTTGACGTTTCCTTTATGCATGTGGAAGCTTTACCTTCTGGGTGAACCCTTCCCCTCTGAACGTTTACAGTCCTTAGATTTACAGTGGTGTTCATCATGCACGAAATAGTGAAATTTCAAATCTAGCTCACAAAGTTAGATACAGACAATATTCTCTTTTGATGAATCGAATAAGATTTTGCTGGGTGTTAATGCAGCCTTGGGCAACTAGTGAGGAGTTCATTGACCATGTAATCCCCAAATTTTAAGCCACAGTGAGATTACGCAGTGGGTTGGAATGAAGCTCTGCTCTCACGGTTGTCGGGTTTTGCTGGTCGCTGGTAAAGCGTTCTGCCGACCCACCTGCTTCAGTAGTCTGCAGTTTTGTTGGTTCTTTCATCTTTCTCCCCTCTCTTTCCAAAGGTGGGTGGATGGCAAATTGGAATATTGAGTACGACCACGTCCATATACAGTAGCATTGATGTCTTTAGTGATTTATTTTACCATGATTGAAATTGGTGGGAACTTTGATATCAATTTGGAGAGCAAGGTCGGTGAATTACTTGGCTTTTGAAGTGTTTTGCATGGGAATCCTACAGGATTGTAGTTGAGAGAGCACTGTGTATCATATTCCTTTTTCCCTCTAGCAATACCTTTTTATTCCTTTTGAAGAGTTTTGCCTGGTATCCAACAAAGTTCACTGTATAAACGGCAGTGTAACAACTTTAGAATACAGCTGTATGTCAGACTGTGCTACCTAGTGATTTAATTCCAAGACCATCCATGCTAATTTGAATATGCATAATGTTGTGCAGAAAAAGAGATGTTTCCTGCATAGAAATTTATAATTTAAAAAGAAAATAGGAAAATAAGATTAGGTAGGGTAGGTGAGGCCAATCTAATTATGTGCTCAATTCTGAGACTAATGCAGATGTCATGTGTGAAGGATGTTTTACTTAAAATGTTTTTGTACATGCATGTGAATGAAATACGTAACTTTGCTTGTGTTTATATGGAACAAAATTGCTTGTAAATATTTCAGGGTTGTTTTTTTTCCTTGCTCTCCTGGAGAGAGTTTCTTTGTAATTTCTAAGAAAATAAAATAAAAAAATTATTCAGAAATAAAAATCCTAAAGGTGCTGTGTGGATTTTTTTGTTTGTTTGAAGAACAGTGCTGTGAATGCAAAAGCCAGTCTTGGGATTCTGTCTGCCTTTACATGGGATCGGGAGTAGACCTTTTGCAAGCGTAAATAAGGTACTGAGATGATATCAGTGTTAATGTCACAACTAGGGAGACAAGAGATGTTATTCCAGGATCTGGCCAGAGAAAATGGAAGTCTTATTTTTCACGGGTGCCAGTGCTAGTGAGCCCCAGAAGTGATATTAGTACCACAGTGCTA